TTTTTTGGGGGGATGGTGGTTATGGGAGAAGCTGTAGATTTCACTGAAAGGTCCTAGAGTCATGATGCTATATAACCTTGGATCAGCTGTTTAGCACAGAACAATCCATTAAATAATATTTGTTTAAATTACTAAATTAAATTAACAGTCTTCTGGGGAATGGAGTTTAACACACATCAATTACCATACTAAACATATCCAAATAAGTCAATTATTTATCTAAACATCACACTGATGTTTATACATCATTAATTATAACATTCAATCATTATCCAAGCCCCAATAATAAAGGGGGAAAAAACAAAGACCTGAGAGAAATCTCTAAAGTGTGAAAGGAGGTTAAATTGGAACATACAGAAGACTTGTACGAACAGGATTAAAAGTTCTGGGACTTGAACATTTAGCGTATACATTTATATTAGTGAAAAGAGGGCACAATGCAGGGTCCCTAGGCCAGCCCTTTTCTTTCGACAGTCCATGTAACAATAACAGCAGCTGCTGTTCTTTTGTGTCAAACATGTTACGGTTTTAGAAAGCCATGTCAAACATGAATGGAATGTGGATATTTCAAAAAGCCAATTATATAAGCAGAAACAATCAATGATCAGTTGATAAAGATGTACATTTATGGGCATCAAAAATTATGGACTAAATTATCATACTATGACAGAACCACTGACAAACATCATCTCAACCAGCTTGGCCAGCTTGGCCAGCTTGGTCATATAAGCTTAAGGCTTTTGACTTTATCAAAATAAACTGACCTATTGAAAAGCCGTAAAAATGTATTTCAAAATCTATAATAAAATTATTCATTTTGATATAACAAAATGACAACTTAGTATTGAATTTATGTAGATCACTTTTACTGATAACATTAATTCGATTATTTAGGCCAATTATCAAATATCAAAATAACGATTGAAATTTTTGAAATTGAAAAGAAATATAATATATACATCAGATGATATACAATTAAAGTTATGGAAAATTAATATTAAATTAAGTTATATTGTTTTACTTGGATCTTGTCTAAAGATTATAGTTGCAATTTTATCAAACATCGTTAAAAACAATTCAAGTCCTAGCTATAAATATAGTTAAATGATTGATCGGTAGCGATCGATAGCGAATAGAAAGTGAATGTTCGGGGGGAAAACGTTTTCTAGTTGTATAAATCACTAGTCGAAACTCTCTCTTAAAATTATTAAGACTATTTAAACAATGCATGCTCTTTTATTTATTTGAAGCCGTTTCAATATGACTTTTATCACGCATCATCCACAGAAAATAGACAGCTTTAGCCATGTTGAAAAGCTTTCTTTGCACGAGTAAATAACAGCAGTAATAATTTGTGGTCTAAGAAAAACAACTTGATTCTTTGAAACACTGAAAAAACCAACTCGAATCAAGTCTTTTGAAGCTCAAATACGTGAACGCCCTCCAATCTATATCTAGTACACATACTTTACTGACTTGTACTAAATTCTAGAGCCTTTACGATTTTAAAGTAGTGTGAACTCCGACTCAAGAGGACATTATGGGATTTCAAAGCTTAAAATATAAGATATTACCTTTGGAATGAAGAGTTGTTATGAAGGAATGGAAGCCTGCTTGCGACGACAAGTCTTTCACGTAGGGTAATTAATTAATACCCAACTAGAAAAAGCTAATAACAGATCCCCGTCAGCGATATTTCTCAAGCGTGGAAGTACACGTATTAAAAGAGAAAACAAAAGTTAATAAATATACATGAGGAAGAAAAATATTTAAAAGTCACGCAACGCTAACGAATATTCCGTGCTCTGATAAATTACACAGAAAATTTGAAAAAATAATTAGAGATTTTGTTTGCAATTCTACTGAAGGTTGTAAAGAAAAATGGGCAAAGGGGTTGATCAAAGAAATACGAAATGCTGGAGAAAAATGTAAGATGTTCCATGGCAACGCCTTCAGTCTGGCTCACGCAATCACGATAGTCTATGACGGGCATATTTCTTGTCACAGTATTTCCTCACATTTAAGCTTTCCAATTATTTTTCTCATATATATGAGAACTAAAAAAGAAGCTCTTAGCTAACAACATTAACAACGTTAGGTGCAAAAAGGGATTATATTCTAAAACAGATTTTCTTTTAATAATAATAATAATAATATAACTTTATTTAACTAGGGTGGCATGCATTACTTGTAGCCCAGTAGTCCCTCCTACAATTAAATTGAAATAGAAAAAAAATTGTAAATTAAATTAAATTAGATTCAGATATGACTGGGAAAATACTTAAAATAAAAGTTATCGGGGAAACTAATTTATTAAACTGGTGTTAATTAAACATTGAAAAAACATACTGACTAATTAATATGTGTGCTCAGTAGTGAAATGTTCTAAAGTAGCATTACGTTTTGAGAATGTTTTCTGTAGACGATGAAAAGAAACAGTTTGTGGGATACAGTGCTTCTTATAGAAATATCAGTGTTGTTCTATAGGCGGATGGCACTAGCGTAAAACGTTTTACGTACTGACATTTTCTTGAAAGAGGGCATAGTCTGTGCTTGTCCCACTTGAATGTCTATCTATTTTAACCCCAAGAAGAGAGAGCCAAGTTTGAGCTTTGCTGAGGTTGTTCTGTAACGTTTGTTGGATTTCTTCACGGTTGTTGTCACATGACGAAATGGTGGTGTCATCTGCATAGATATCGATTTCAGATTCAACATGTAAATGGAGAAGAGTATAGGTCCTAATATAGATCCTTGTGGGACCCCCAGTTTGAGTGTTGCAGAGCATGAAAGCGAGCCTGATATGGAGCACTTTTGTGAGCAGTCCGTTAAATATGAGGTAAACCACTTTAATGTGTGTGGGCTGATGTGGTATTTGGCGAGTTTGGATAAGAATATATATCGTGATTCACAAGGTCGAAAGCCTTGCTTAGGTCCAGAAAAACAGTTCCAACCAGTTTACTGTCGTCCATTTAACTCTAAGCTTTTCTAATTATCCTTCGCTTTGCCATGGAAAAAATAGTAAAAAACCCTCGCGCATCTTAGTTTCGCGCCAATAATGCAAATGCACGTGCCTTTCAGTTGTTCCTTTTCAGTTCTAGACTCGTTCAGTTCTTCCGGTGAACGTTTTCCTTCTTCTGTTGTTATTGCTATAGCTGCTGCTGCTGCTGCTGCTTGTATGTTGTAGTTGTTATTGTTGTCTTTGCTGACGATGATCTTCATGTTAATCTTCTTCTTCTTCTTCTTCTTCTTCTTCTTCTTAGTTTTTACTCTGATTCTCAATTCAATTTTCTATATTCGAGTTCAGTTCCCAGAGCTCCTTTCCATTCCGTTTGTCAGTACACAGACGGGCAAAAACAGCTTTATTAACGGCTGGAAAAGATTTTCATTAAAAAAAAAAAAAAAGGATTCTTAGCACTAGTTTTCAGGTTCCTATGAAACTCAACAAACATTTATTTACGAATTACAATTTCCAGAATATAATTAATAGGGAACCGACTGTTGTCACAATAGTCAGCTTGATCCTTCTAAGAATCGATGAGTTTCCCTTCATTTGTTGACTGCAAGACTTGAAAGACTGAAAGGGAGAAGAGGACTGACAGCAGAAGTCAACCGCTGAAAATGAGATTTTGAAGTAAATACTATCACAAGGCAAGTCAACCAAGTCTCGTAATGAAGAGGTATGGAAATCCAATCTCATGACCGAGAGTATGAATAGAAGTGATAACTACAACAAAAAAGAAAAAACTTTATTTATATCATAAACTATAGAGTGCAAACCATATCCTTGAAATAGCACAAAAACTAAATAGCACTAATATAAGCACACCTATATTTCTTTTGCATGTCAGTTCAATTGTTTTATTGGTGCCTTGTAATATTTAGTTAGTACTATTTCACGTATATATGCAGTCTACTAGCTATGTACAATACATAACCATTACCATCATTAACACATAAGATGGACAAAAATCTTATCCAGTGGATAAATGTATTGGATAACAGCATCGACTTATCCACTGGATAAGATTTATCCCGCGGATAGCGCTATCCATCATCGGCCACAACCAGTCCCATCAGGTGTACGACGCAAACTCCCTCTAGTTCATCCATGCAGTTGTAACGGGCAACTGACTCCGAAACAAAATCCTTGCATTGAATGCAAGAATGAAACTAACAAAGCCTGAGTGCTCCTTTATACCATTGCCTATAATTAAGAGCGCTGGATTCTACGGTGGAGGAAAGGAAGGAGGTAAAGGAGTCTAAAGTACTGCAGGAAGAAAGAGAGAACGGAAAGATCGAAGGAACGATAAACGAAAGAGCAAACGAAGGCAATGAAGGAAGGAAAAAAGGAGAGAAGAAAGAAAGAAAGAGAGTCACAGCAGAAAAAGAGAAAGAGAGAAAGAGAGAAAGAGAGAAAGAGAGAAAGAGAGAAAGAGAGAAAGAGAGAAAGAAAGAGAGAAAGAAAGAGAGAAAGAAAGAGAGAGAGAAATAAATAAATAAAGAATGAATGAATGAATGAAAGAAAGAGAGAGAGAGAATGAAAAGATAAAAGAAGGCTGATAGATGGACAGAAAAAGAGCAAAAAAATGTAATCTTGAAACCATCGATCTTTAAATTGAATTTTAAGCCGAACTGAAGAAGGAAAAAATCAACAAAGAATTACTAATCTTAACGGCGGTAATCTTGAGAAAAATGTCAACTTAAGAATTTCGGATTTCATAGTTTAATTACGATCAAATTTCTGACAAGCTAGTTAGCGTTGAGCTATACTAATTGCTTTTAAGATTAATTTTGACGTTGCCTAGAAAATTCATTGCCGGCCCATCAGGTTTTTTCACAGTCTTAAAAAAAATGTCCCCCTCTTGTTGACAGGTTTCCTTTGAGGTGCAGTTTTATTCTGTTATGCTACATATTGCTTCAAAGAAATAACAAAGTCGAGGCTTACATAACCCGAACAGCAACACATTGTTCGTCTGTACTGAGTACAATAAACGACCATGCTTTACTTGCAAATGCCTTCAGCGTTCAAACGACCGCTGATTTCTTTGCCTGTGCACAGAGTTGCTTGGGAGACAGTCGATGTATGTCAGTGAACTTCCACAGCGTTTCCAATAACGGTCTTTGTGAGATGAACACGGATTATGTTGACGGTGTTTTGGAGCAATGTACTCGTCTGTACTATAGGAAGGACTCTGTTTTTGGACAGCTTGTTAATGTGTCGGTAAGTGGGTACGTTGAGTAGGAATTCATTGAAAGTATATGAAGTTAAAATCCTATTTCCTATTCGTGTTGAAAGCATATGCATGTATGTAGTAGTGCGCAAAGGGCTATGCACCAAGCAAGCAGCCTCTGATTATATACAACAAACAAGTTTGGACAGAAGAACGACACAAATTAATCATATCCGGGGTCCATGAATTGTAGCGAGAGTAAAACCTAAACCTAACAACCCACAACGACAAGCCACGCGCGAAGAAATATATGTTATTTACCGGCCAGGAGGTCCGGATAGGGAAAAACTGTGCCCGAGGTCTTGAATATACGGAGCGAAGCCGTTCCGGAACGACTATAGGACGGTAAATAACTCATTTATTTTTATCCTGTATTTTACTTGTTTTTGTAATCGTTTTGTTTTGTTGTTTAGCGGCAAAGGATACCGGACCGCGCGCGCGGGCAGATACTGACAAAATACCGCCCGCTCAAACAGCCAATCAAATCGCACGATTTTTCAGGATACCGGACCGGAAAAAATAATTAACTATCTTTTGAGATATTAATAAAAAAGAGATATGGTAGCACGGTAGAATGATGCTGAATAATGAATAAGTATTCTACTTGCTATATTTATTTAGCACATTTATCCAACATGGCGGCTATGACGTCACTATGTTATCTTGACCCAGTCAAACGGCAAAAAGACTATAAAGTTCCATTGGTTTATAATATGATAAAAATTCGAAAATTAAACTCAAAAAAATTATTTTGCAATTGATTTGCAGGATCCAGTTTTTCAACCTGAAATCGAAAAACCAGAACGCAAAGGTAAGGAGTCTAATGCCTAGTGATAAATCTATTTTGTAGTCGGCTATATTATATTATAAGGCAATTAATTAAGCTATCAAAGGGAAGTTATATGTTGATGAGTTGGCTTTCTAAATAAATAGCCCCACTTAATAGATTCCTACGTCTGGAGTACTTTTCTTGGGCCAGCTGTGTCAACATTGGCCGGGTAGCATGGGCGGTCGGGTATTGGCAAACTGCGCGCGAAATGGTTATCAACTCGTCTAACTTGCAGCAACTTGTTTCTTATTTGCAGTAACTTGCTGCATGTCCCTGATAAACCACTGTAAAGAATTAACTCTTACGAAGAACGATTATTGTAAAATATAGAAAATTTATAAGCTCGAAATTTTCAATTCAACTGATTATAATATTTCCTTCACGTAGTTACTAACATTTTTTTCACGCTTAACCGTAAGAGTCAGAAGACACTGACAGTATATACATATATATATATTTTTTTACAATATTTGTTGTGCACTTCGTTTGCATTCACTTGGCCAACTTGTATATTCATTTGTTTCTCCTTGTTGCTAGAATATTTCTTCACCACGCTCGGAGCCTCAGGACGTATTGGCCCTACGAATACCACCAAGTACGATGGAACCCTTTTGGAAGGGAAAGTGACGTTGAGTGACGGAATCCAGCTCTGGACTGTCCCTCAAACAGGAGACTACGTCATTGAATCATTTGGCGCTTCCGGTGCTAACGGGACGTGTTTGGGAGAAACGAATTGTACCGGGAAGGAATGGAGACTAGGGGGTCTGGGAGCTGTAATGAAAGGCACATTCAATTTGAGCAAAGGGACTAGGCTTAAGATATTGGTTGGTCAAGAAGGATCACGAACAGAAAACTTTGGCACAAGACCCGGGGGAGGAGGAGGTGGGACATTTGTCGTTCGTTATGATAACACTCCGCTAATTATCGCCGGAGGGGGAGGGGGAGGTGCACAACCGAAGTCGTCAGTCTGTCTTGACGGTGGTCCCGGGCTGGTAGGTGAAGATGGGGGAGTGTGTGGAGGTTCAGGTGGTAATGGGGGTCTTCAGTGTGATGAAATGGGAAGACCAGGGGCTTCCCTGGCTGGTGGTACCGGAGCAGGTTTCAACACCGATGGCCTGGGCTTTCAGGCCTTTCGCCCTGGTAGCTATAGCTTTATCAATGGGGGTAAAGGAGGAGTAGGACCTGCCGATGTACAGGGCGCGTTTGGCGGAGGAGCGTTTGGTTTACAACAGCCTGGAGGGGGAGGAGGGTACTCGGGAGGGGGGCTGATGGGAACGTCTGATACCGGACAGGCTGGTGGAGGAGGGTCGTATAACAACGGCACTAATCCATCTAATAAAGAGGGGGCTAATAAAGGAGATGGAAAGGTTATAATTACTTACCAATAAGGGTTTAGAATTATCTTTAGTCGTTAGCACAGCTTTAGACTTAGACATATTAATGTTTTTTCAAATGGAATGCACTTCGATCACGATCCTTGTATTTGTGTGTATCTGTGTTCAGTAATTGAAAAGCCAATGCTTATGGCTTTTAAAGGCGCAATATCTTATCTATGTCTAACGTTTATGTGGCATGCTTGTATGTAGATATCGATAGCCATGCAATAAGTAAAGCCACTGATGAAAATGCAGAAACGCCTTTGTGTATTATAACACTTTTCCCACGCCAGACATTGCAGCCTAGATATGTTCACAGTTGATACAATGTTGATCTTGGCACACTATTGAATGTCTCACTTGTCACTTGCACGTTCATAGTAATATAACTAGAAAACAAAGTACCCCTTGGGATATCGTTCACATTATAAGATATCAGTATTTCATGGCATGCTATACAAGGAAACATTGTATAACTAGAAACACAAAAATACAGTATATTACACTGTAGAGTAAATAGGATTCTTGTCATCGAAGGCTGGTTGCTATAGTAAACTTTTAACCACTAAATCAGTTGGTTCTTATTAGTATTTGAACCAGATACGCGACGCAAAAGAAATTGTGAGTCCTGAGCTCATAATGATGACACTGAGAATAAGGAAAGCTAAATCCACGTAAAGGAAAGGAATTTTAAACGAACAAGCCGTAAGGGTGGTGTTCTGTGAGTGGTAAGTGAAATTATAGTTATATCAGTCGATAGAAAAGTCACTCTTTCTAAAATGATATTGCGAGTTGATAAATATGCATTTAAAAGATAGAAAATCTTATCTGGATACGACAGAAATAAAATAAAAAATCGATTCAACTTTGCCATACCCCCGAGACATCCGCAGAGCTGAGGCGKCGTATGGACTTCGGACCTGACGGCGATTAAATCCTTCTGCCCTTGGGTGTACGAATTACGCAAGAAAATGTTCTAGCCGGAGCATCAGGGGAGAGACCAGCCGGCCCCCAGACCATATCGGCTAATCCCTTGCATCTCTGCCACGCACGGAATCGGTTGAAAAATTGATGTTAAAAAGTCGAGTCTATTGGGTGCTTTGTTTTCACAGCTATTGTTATGCTGATTCACCTGTAACCGTGGTCCAGTGGAAAAAACTTGGGCTTTTTCCACAATAAGTCAAGTCCAGTTGAGCGAAGTTAGTACCTGGATGGGTGACCTGAAACTTATGCATACTAAAAAAATAATTTAATAAAGTTTTTTTTTCTTCTCAGTCGTAACTTTGAATCCATTTTATTCCGATTTCGTTTCAATAGAGAAATTGTCAAATATTAAAAACTGCCGGGCATTTAATCCATTACTGACATTCCATAATCACAAACACTTTTACTAACTGCCATTAAAAAACAACCACGCCCTATTTCTATTGTTTGATATCGGGTTTGAATTTCGATGGAAAACCTGTCCCGGGTTTTGAATTCAGCATTGATACTAACGCGGGGGAGAGCGGGGATGAATTCAAAACCCGGGACAGGTTTTACTCGAAATTAATAATATTAATAAATTTAATTTCTATATTCTCATGCGCTTTACAACACAAGAACTAGATGTTGCTAATTTACAATGATCATATATATAGATATTTAGTACAGATGAATAAGAAATAACTACTATGATGATCATGATAAACTTGAAGTAAGAAAGCGAACGCATGCTAACCATGAATAAGCACAAGAACTACCCGCTGCGCCATTCCTTGATGGCTACGATGCGCTCGTTCCGAAAACATTGCATGATTCAAACCCTCCATCAAACATTAAAAATAGGGCTTGGTTGTTTTTTAAACCAGTTAAAACGCACGTGCTCGGGTTTGCATTGAAATTCAAGACCGAGAACCCTCGACCTAGCGTTTTAAATTTTATCGAGAGGATCTGTTCGTATCCTCTGCCGAGGAAAGACAAACCTCGACCTTCTCTAGAACGGCAAACGTTTCGTTGAATTGTCATAAGTATCCCTTAACTTGATTTAGAAGCATTCTTTAACTTTATTTAGTTGTATCCCTTCACCTGATTTTGGAGCCTTATCCCTCAGCCAAATTTGGGAGTATCCCCTTCCTGAACTAGGAGTATCTCTTACCTGGTTTAGGAATGTCCCCGACCATGAACTAAGAGCATTCAGTTTCTGATCTGTTTTTTGAAATAGTTGAATATTTTTTGCTAATATTTTCCAGATCCTTAGCTGTTGATTTACCTATTGATTTACCGCGGAAACAATGCAAGTGTTTATCATCGTCTTGATTGCACAAGTAATCGCTTCACTCGTTAATCCTTGTTCCTATGATGAAAGTCTCAGTCACTCTTCAGCTATCAAAACAACAGCCAGCCACATGCTAAGCGGATTCACCTTTAGGAGTCAGCGGGTTTATGACATTTTAAAATGCGCACAATTATGTCTTGGTGATAATCGCTGCCTGTCCTTCAACTATGAGGATAGAATAGATGGGGAGTGTCGGCTGAACAACCAAACTGCTGTCGCACAAGACGACTCTCTTTATTACTCCAAACGCTTTACATATGGTGAGATGCGAGATGTAAGTGCGATTGTGCAATTTTCACATAAACGTTTTTATTTCCACATGAAGTAAGATTTCTTTATTATAAATACTGTACTACCCTACTCCTCTCCCCTCATCGACCATTTAATATCTGCGTAGTTCTCTCTCTACTCCAATACAACTACTAAAGAGCTAAAAATTCCTATTCGACCACAGTGCATTGCGCGCCGAAAACGATAAAATGCTATACAATGCGCCATTGCTAAGAGGGACGCCTTCTGTCGATGTAATTTCTAAAATAAGTTTACTTCTGTGTCCTTTTGAGTATTGTGATCTGTGTAAAACTAGCTACTCCGGACTCCTTCACTTGCTTCAGAGGGACGCCTTCTGTCGATGTAATTTCTAAAATAAGCTTACTTTGGTGTCCTTTTCAATATTTTCTGTTCGAGCTGTGACGAGGAATAATTTTTCAAAGTTCGAAAATTAAGCTACGAGGTTTACTATGCTTGTGCTAACTGTGGTTTGAGAACGATAGAGCTAGTGAAAGATGTAAATGATAATAAATATAGGCGCGCAGTGCATTATTGTTGACTAGGATTCTTTAAATACATGTAATGGTTTTTACTTTTCTGTTATTTAGCGGCAACGTTCGGGCAATCAAGACTCAGGTATAGTAAACGGATAATATAACTTTTATTTCATCCATCCATCCATCCATCCATCCATCCATCCATCCATCCATCCATTCGTGCCTTTCTGCCTGCCTGGCTTCCTCTTCCTTAATTAATTTATTCACCATTCTTTAATTTAAAAGATTGCGTGTTCGTCTTCACCACCCTGGGTGCCAAGGGCAAACGTGGCCCAATCGACACACACGGCTACAATGGAACCAACCTGGATGGATCTGTTACTCTTGATAGTGGCCTGCAGTTGTGGAGGGTTCCACAGACGGCGGTGTATTCCATCGAAGCCAACGGCGCATCAGGTGCTAACGGTACATGTAAGAATGATTCAGAAGTGTGTCACAGAGGAGGACTGGGAGCCAGGATCATAGGATCATTTCACCTCGTTAAAGACACCATGCTTACGATCCTTGTAGGACAGAAAGGTCAACTTGATAAGGAATTAGGATTATCCGGGGGAGGAGGGGGTGGAGGAAGTTTTGTCGTTAGTACTGACCAACAGCTGCCTTTGGTAGTTGCAGGTGGGGGAGGGGGTGGGGGGAAACCTATAACGGGACTCCAAGATGGCGACCCAGGCCAGGAAAAGGAAAATGGCAGTAGATGTGGAGGTTTGAACGGAAAGGGAGGGAAATTTTGCAACAGTTTGGGTGCACAGATAACCCAGCTTTACGCAGGCTCAGGAGCTGGTTTCTATGGAGACGGGGTATATTTCCCTGGGATTTGCAGTGGCGCACAAAGCTTTTCTAATGGCGGCTTAGGGGGTGAAGGACCATCATCTACAGCTACTGGGGGATTTGGTGGGGGAGGGTATGGGATGGAACACGGAGGTGGCGGTGGGGGGTATAGTGGAGGAGGTATTGTTGGTGCTCCTAAAGAGGGCTTCGCAGGGGGAGGGGGCTCGTTCAACTCGGGTTCTTCACAGGCAAATAAAGCGGGGGTCAGTTATGGGGACGGTAGAGTAATAATCACGATGCTTCAGCGAAAATAATGCCAGGACATTTACACTTCAAACTAAGCCGATATTTGACATCATTAAATTAGTCTAGTTAGCGCGCTTTTCGCCCTCTGTTTTCTTTCCGTTCTTGAAATTTCAAAACTAATAAAACCCAGACGTGCCAAAGTGGAGGGCGCAGAACATTTTGTTTCTTTCAGATTTTTCGATAAATTATATTCATTCCCATTTCTTCCCCCCTGTTCCAAGCCCTGACAATCAGAGGTGCTTACCATTTACCAGTAAAAACCGGAAATTCCGGCAGAATGTATGCATCTGATTCCGATTGGAAAGTTCCGGAAAACTCCGTAGAAGGTATTCCACTTTTCCCGCTCTTTTTGGTTCTTTCGGTAGACGCGTGTACGTACCATTTTGTCGAAAGTCAAAGTTTCCTGCTCTTTTCTTAACATTAGCGAATGAATTTCCAACCGCATGGATTGGTTTAAATAATGGTAAGCATCCCATGCAGTTTTACATTCATTATTTGCTTTTACTATTCATACATGCAAAATTAATATCTTTATAAAGACAACCGTTTCTTATCATTAGCGAATGAATTTCCAACCGCATGGATTGGTTTAAATAATGGTAAGTACCCCAGTTTTACATTCATTATTTTCTTTTTCTATTCATACATACAAAATTCTTTATAGAGACAACCGTTTCTATGACAAGATTTTTTTTGTCGATTATTAGTTGTCCCATATTAATTCAAATATGAAAGTAAGATTTCTCAAACTAATCTTTATTCGTTAAGAAATAATATGAAAATCGTTAAGCCGGTAACACAATAGAATATTGTTATATGAAATATAATTTGAATATACTTTTTTATTCGCATTTAATTTGACCGATCGTCACTGACTTCAAGTTTTTCCTGTTTACATTATGCATTCATCGACTTTATTCATAGCTGTCGAAAACGACTTTTAAATTCAAAACAAATTGGTCAAGATCAAAACATCAATCTCTTTTACTGAGATCAAAAATGCCACTGAAAAAAGGATTTTTTCGAGAGTTTATAACATTCCTATTTTTATACCTTTTGAACCTTGGGTTTGACTTTTCAGTTGTGTTTGAAGCTCGCGAAGGACATATCTTATTCGTAAAGCTTTTATCACAACCTGACTACGAGGAAAGCAACCAAACTAATAACTTTTTAGATTGTTCCAGAGGCCCCTGGAATCACGAAGACTACACAAAAGAAGTAAAAGATTTTGGGATTGAATTGAAAGTGTGTTGGTTCTTCCTCACCGTAGCCTGCCTTTTGTTTATATCATTCACTGCAGTATACATTATAATGATCTATAAATCTAAACTTGATCCCGACTTTTATAAAGAGCAACGACACAAATATGCTCGAATTAAGCTGTACTTTGGCTTTGCATGTAGCATGTTACAGGACATTCCCATTACATGTCTAGCAGTGGATTTGTATGTGACTCGCTCGGGTTCTAAAGGGCTGCTCTGTTGGCAATGTGCTCAGGACAAGAGTTGCACGACCAAGTATGTTCTACGAGAAAGAATCACTCGAATGACAGCTCTTTTGTCCGTCAGTTTACTAACTACAGCCATAACAAGTGCTTATAAAGGAGTGACAACTTTCTATCGTTGGAGTAGAGTACGAGAGGCGAAATGCTTCGAGCTGAGAGCTTGTGTTTCTTTGTTTGTAGGATGCATTTATGCTCTTATTATCATTACACCTTCGTTAGCATTGGTAAAGTACAAGTTCTTTTCTTTGGCCAGTCAGAGTGGTAACGTTTTTGCTGGGACTGTAGATAGTTTATTCATGATAGGGATTATTTGTTGGGCTGTGTTTGTCGTTGTTGCATTTTGCTGTCCTATCGTTCAATCAATACGAACGTAATTAGTCTTTAGACGAATTCTCCCAAAAACAAAAAACGAAACAAAAAACAAGAAAAATATAATAATAATGCAGAAATGCTTAGAAAAACAAACGTTTAACGTAATTATATAAAGCCATGACAAGCAACGTTAGAATGAAAAATAAGAATTCAAGAAGGAAAATATATCTCGAGACAAGACAAGAAAATAAAAGAAAGATGTTAAAGGCCAGCAAGAAGAGAAAAAATAGACGAACAATGGTGATCGAGGAATAAAATGTCTACCATTTTGCTTCGTAAATATGGAAACCCTCTGGCAAAGATTTAGAAAATTAATTAGTTATTGTGACATGCGCAGAAAGATAGCTCGATACACAGGGATCCCAAATAGCATGATATTAGAAATGTAGTTTTTCCTTGATCGTAACATACACATTTCTATTGCCTAAATGAATGGCAAGTTTTTTAGCCCTTCACTGAAGACTGGTAAGGAGATTTAGATTCATTAAAGGTGCATTCAGCTGACTGATACCAAGCAATAGAATACTCTCTGGTCGATACATAGCAAATGACGACCAGTGTTTTCCTGTCATGGTATAGGCTGGTAATGAGATTCATGATATATTGATACTATGTAAAGTTACCCAAGTAATTAATGTAAGATGTAGGACTACAATTATTTAAAAAATTCATAAAACTTCTTTCTTGACTAATTTCAAGAAATTAATTTTTTTTTTGGCTCTTTTACAAAATATTATTTCTTACCTGTTGAACAAACAAAAGAAAGGGGGAAAAAATAACAAAGAATAAACAATGTTCATCATGATAATAAAACAAAGTCAAAAATAAAATAAAAATTAAACTTATAACAAAAGGTAAACTTGACGTAACGTTAAAATTTTAATGAGGTTTTGGCAAATTTGTGTTATAGATTGAAATACATATATTCCTTGGACAGATATCAATCATTTCCATATTGGAATAAATTTTAACTCCAAAATTACAATAATTTGGCAGCCAAGTCTACCAAAGACACACCCTTGCATTGTTTGGCTTGTTCGCAGCTTGCTTTGCATGTCTCAGTGTCGTGGTGTTAATTTATGTATAAATATACTAATAAATACATATAATTAAAAAACAAAGCCGCGGATTTCATTGAGGGCCGCACTTCATTAGACAGTGAAAGATACTGAACAGAAAAAGCTTAGCTTCGCAGTTCAGTATACATGCACTTGCAATTGCTTGTTAGAAGAGGAAAAAAAGAGATTGAAAGTGGATTTTCATGTAGTACCTCATAGACTTTCCCAAGAGGATTAAAAGACCCTGGAAGGCAAGAATGGGACCGTTTGCACTTTTGATAGTGGTGGTGGGAACTGTCGGGATGTTTGCAACCGCTGCATTGAGTTGGATCATCTCTTGGTATCCGCTGTAACGACAGAAAACGACCAATAACTCTGACTTCAACTATAAATCAATGGATAATCAGTCGACATAAATCTGGGGTGCGCTTCTTTTTCTCAAGATAACATTGTCTTGCTTCTTTTCATTTAATTGGTATTGGTTCTATGCTGATGATCTGAAGATACTTTTGAAACTAACGATGATTGAAGATACAACGATTATCGAATAATGGCTTTATTTTCTTGAAATTATCAATCGCTTTGGCACGGTTTTCTACCTGGGGACGGAATCCGAAAGAAGGCAAGCGGGCTACGGCAAGGCAAGGATTTCTAATGCAAATTAACATTGGGTTGATTATATATCTAGATTATTTTATTAATTGAAGTAGCTGCATGAAATAGTATGGAGTAAGTGCATATTGATTAAATATATCGAGTTAACTGTTCAAAATTATTTAAAAAAAAGTAGTTTTACCTAAAAATTCGGAGAATGGAAAAATTAATTTTTATATAATTTTAAACAAAAACATGATTTAGAGCTATGATTCGTTTGATATTTATTTTTTATATCGATAAAACTACCGTTGATTTAAATAATATATATTTCTGTAATTTATAAAAATTATTTAATAAAAGATTAAACGTTTGGGTAATTTTTCAAAAAATCAGAAGTATTTTCTATACTTTGTTTGCGTGAAATCTTTTTGCTTACGTTATTACTTGAAATTTATTCCCAAGAAAGTATTCGTTTTAACTTATGTTTGAACAGGTACCTTGAAATACCTGTCAATTCATCAATTTTGTCCAAAAGTATTTGCCAATCGCAATATTTTTAGTTTTACCTTTTTCACATTTGATACACACGACAAAGCAAAGACAGATTATTTTTTAAGCAACAATATAAATATATCTTCAACTTTTATATACTTTTAAGACGTTTTTCCCAGTTGTTTTTATCAAGATTTGTATTTAGTATTCCAGATTCTATTTATGTGCATTTGTTTACGCTTTCATTCATAACGTTTGCTTAAGCTAACACCCAGTTGCTGTGCTCATCTGATATTAGATCAAACATGTACGCTAGTTATACGATGCTTTTGAGTGTCACATTTTGGAATATCCCGTACGAAGCACATTCATTATACACGGAATTACGGAATTAAAGAAAAGAATGGAATACTACGTGTGGAAGCTAAGAGAATGTTTTTGAATACGCAGTAGGGAATGAAAAATCCTGTTTCTAAAAATATCCTAATAGAAGAAAAAAAAAAATGCTTGAGTAGGTATGATATTTAGGCCACCCATCCAGTTGTTAACCTTCCTCAAACGGGCTTGACTTGTGTCTTGAATATATAATGTCAAATGTTTTTTCAGTGGACAACGGTACCAGTTGAATCAGCATAACAATAGCCGTGAAAACAAAGCACCCAATAGACTCGACTTTTTAACATCAATTTTTCAACCGATTCCGTGCGTGGCAGAGATGCAAGGGATTAGCCGATATGGTCTGGGGGCCGGCTGGTCTCTCCCCTGATGCTTCGGCTAGAACATTTTCTTGCGTAATTCGTACACCCAAGGGCAGAAGGATTTAATCGCCGTCAGGTCCGAAGTCCATACGCCGCCTCAGCTCTGCGGATGTCTCGGGGGTATGGCAAAGTGGAATCGTTTTTTKKTTTTTTTTTTGTTTTTTGTTTTCCTCGGTGGACTTTATTAGGTTCAAATCCCACCACATAAAGATTTTTTAAAAAATAATTAATTTTTGGTTTTCAGTTTTCCATTTTTCCAGATTCAAAGATTTGTAATCTTTTTTTAACCTACTTGATTTCTTGTTGCTTACATTCGATGGGAATTATCATTTATTCAATCTCGATCCAAAACTCCGTGCCACTGTGACGGGCTTTACGATCAGGTAATAACGTTTCTACAATCAAAACCTAAAATTACTTCACCAAAATTACCTTTATTAAAGAAATGTTTTATCAGGGTTAGCGAATACATAATTATGAAAAGTTCATCAGCGAATATTGGTGACATGCACGGCATGCTTCACACAGTCAGGCAGTTGCAGTGTGAAATGTGTCCTCTTAATGACGAAGAACGGACTTGAATACATCTCACACTGATGTCTAAAATTAGTCTTCATACTGTTAATTTCAAGGATAAAAGGTAGCACGGAGAAATGTTTTTTAAAAACGATTTTTTGGTGCCGCTAGAAAGTATTTTCTTTTATGTTCTGAAAATAAATAAAAAAGCAAATGTTAGTTGTCTGATATTATTTCGCCACGAAGGGAAACTACTTAGGGGATCAATCTGTGAGTTGAGCTGTGCCCTGACTTAAAATCAGCCCAGAGGATGTTTTTGGGTATCACGAGAGAAGTTTGAAGGATTATTTAAGCAATGTGTCTTATTAGAGGAACTGAATCTGGAGCTTGAAATGACATTTGTTGAGAACGCATCAATATTTTTCTTCCATAATCAATTACCTTATAAACCTTGACAACAAGCAAACTGTAAGGCCTGCAACCCATAGAGATGGCACGTAGGGACTTTGGTGACATCCAAAAAGGACATGTAGTTCTTTCTTGTCTTGGCCTCTATCACTGTGATCTGCATCTCCATCAGCACTATCGTCACTCTCATCACTGTGTCTACTCTCGGGGACACCCAAATCACCATCACTAACACAGACACTGCTGTCATAACCATAATCACCAAGATCAGTACAATTATCACCAGCAACATGATGATCATCATGATTACTACAATCATCATCAGCATCATCAGCAACATCAGCATCATCATGATCACTACAATCATCATCAGCAACATCAGCATCATCATGATCACTACAATCATCATCAGCAACATGGTCTTGCTTATGGCACTCACAGCACTCCATGGCATTAATACAATCTGACACATCCTCTTTTTCTTGCTTGTTATCATCATCATCAGCAGCAGCAACTGCAATTTCATCTTCACTATCGCCATGGCTCTCACAGCATTCTATGGCATCGCTATGATAAAGCATATCTTCCTCCTCTTCGTCTTCTGGCTTATCACAATCATAATCATCATCAGCAACTGCAATTTCATCTTCATTTTCGTCATGGCTTTCACAGCACTCTATGGCATCACTATGATAAATGATATCTTCCTCCTCTTCTTCTTCTTGCTTGATATCATCATCAGCGACTACAATTTCATCTTCATTTTTGCCATGGCTCTCACAGCACTCTATGGCATCACTATGATAAACCATGTCTTCTTCTTCTTCTTGCTTATCACAATCATAATCATCATCAGCAACTGCAATTTCATCTTCACTATCGCCATGGCTCTCACAGCATTCTAGGGCATCACTATGATAAAGCATACCTTTTTCCTCTTCTTCTTCTTGCTTATCACAATCATAATCATCATCAGCAACTGCAATTTCATCTTCACTGTCGCCATGGCTTTTACAGCACTCTATGGCATCACTATGATAAACCACATCTTCCTCCCCTTCTTCTTGCTTGATATCATCATCAGCAACTGCAATTTCATCTTCATTTTCGTCATGGCTTTCACAGCACTCTATGGCATCACTATGATAAACCATGTCTTCCTCCTCTTCTTCTTGCTTGATATCATCATCAGCAATTGCAATTTCGTCTTCATTTTCGTCATAGCTTTCACAGCATTCTATGGCATCACTATGATCAAGCATATCTTCCTCCTCTTCTTCTTGCTTGATATCATCATCAGCAATTGCAATTTCGTCTTCATTTTCGTCATGGCTTTCACAGCATTCTATGGCATCACTATGATCAAGCATATCTTCCTCCTCTTCTTCTTGCTTGATATCATTATCAGCAATTGCAATTTCGTCTTCATTTTCGTCATGGCTTTTACAGCATTCTATGGCATCACTATGATCAAACATATCTTCCTCCTCTTCTTCTTGCTTGTGATCATCAGCAGCGACTGCCATTTCATCTTCACTACCGTCATGGCTCTCACAACACTCTTTGACATCTTCCACCTCTTCTTCTTCTTCTTTCGTTTCGTTCTTGTCAGCATCATGGACAGCCACAACATTCTTTTCATCCTTGTCAACAAGTGATCTACATTCACATGGTGGCAGTGGAAGAAACATTTGCCTGATGTTCTTGATAATCGAACTAGACGATACAGTTCTGTTGCAGAAATCATCGTAATATTCCTTGTAGAAATAATCAAGGAATTTTGCCACCAGTGGCTGAATAAGGCTCGGATGTCCGGGGTTGATCCAACACTGGGTTGTGAGTTCACCCTCGTGACTTCTCTCTATTGAAATGGCTGCCATATGAACAACTACGCCTTTAAAACTTCGTTGATCTTTTAAAGAGCCTTTTTCCCCGACGCAAAACAAAAGTGCACCGATCCGTCTTTCGTCGGGAAAGTTTCTTACAACCTTAAAGTACTTCGTTGGTTTACAAGGCCATGAAGACTCATCATCATCGCTTGAGTTAGTGACTTCTTCGTCAGAAGTACTATATTCTTCATCATCGCTTGTCCACTCGTCATCATCATCATCGTCGTCATCATCATCGTCGTCATCTTCATCGTCGTCATCATCATCGTCGTCGTCATCACTATCCTCCTCGTCCTCATCGACAGAGAAGCCCCCTGCACTGTCTGGTAGGGGGAGTGCTAATGTCTTGCACTGCACCGATGATGATGCTCGACAATATCTTCTTCTCCTGAGCATCTCGCGATAAGCGAGTATTATGTCCAACACGCTAAACATTAAATCAAAATTGAATTCATGATTGTTTAAGATTGTAATTATATGTTGTAAGAAGAGTAGAGAGATTTAACTTTAGCTTTAGTCTTGAATGATTGGCTTAATTCGCGTATGAACCAGCGCTCTTGGAATTTCGCGACACAAATTGTATTGCGGGAACAATCCAGTTATTATTACTGGACAGAGTTATCCGAAGGAAAAAAGTACTAGTTTGATTGGCTTGCCCAATGCCTGCAGAACATGGCTGCTGCTTATAACCCAATAACAACTCAGTTGTTTTGATCTTACCGTATTATTATCAAAAACACCAAGATCACCAATATTATCCAATAGATTATTCTCACGATCAGGAATTCCTCGGCTGAATAAAAAAAATAAATTAATTTAACTAATTAAAGTTTTAAATATTTTTTTAAAAGTTTAATAATCTACCAAAGAACTTCTTTCACTAATGGTCCAATTCATTTTATTTCCTTCCTTTTTTTCCCTTTCTTTTGCCCGCTTAGCTTTCTTCTTCTATTTTTCTGTTTCTTTACTTGTGTTTAACTGTTTTCCCTTTTTGATTCCTTTTTTATAATTCTTTTCTTTCTTTTTTTTGCCTTTATTTCCTTCTAGACTAAAATGCTCAGATTCTTGTGAACGTTGCAAACTTACCTTCTTCCAAAATGGCAAGGAATTTGATAACTAAAAATATCATATTCAATGTTTGAAACGCTTTACACTATATCAGTATTTTGCTCTAGTTTTCGTACGAATTCCGAAACTCTTTCAATTAGACAAGAGTAATTGAATAACTATAACGTCATAATCATGCGCGCGCACGCATGCGCGTAATGGAACTAGTATCCAGGACCTTTCCTAGTGCAGCACGCAGTATTTTTGCTAGTCCTCATTCGGTTAACCAAGCTATTTACTGTTAATGTTCGAAGTCAATTCTCATCTTGATATTAATATGCAGCGGCAGAATTAAGTAATATTTATATAATATTATACCTGGATAAATCATTAATTTCTTTATTTTTCTTTCATTCTTACTATAAATTAGAGTTCAAATAATTACTTGATTTTTCTTTCATTCTTATTAAAACATAATACGACTCGAACCTTCTTTTACTTTGTAGCCATATCGTTCAGTCGGACGATATGTTAAATACTTTAATTATTAATATAAAAAACTAACTGAGAATAAATATTTATTGTCGATTATATTCACGACTGGTGCAGAAAGCAGAATGTTATTCACGGTATTTTTTTAGGGTCAAGCGGGCCAAGCGAAGACTAGGGCCGAGCTTCGAGTCCCCCTAGGGGTAGGGGGCGGGGACGAGGGACGGATTACGAATAGAAACCAAGAAAAATGGAAGGGTATCTCGCAGTATTACATCTAAAAATCTTGGAGATTATTTATGTTATTCTCATAAATATTTTCTATCGTGCCTCACACTAGAATCAATTTACAATCACATCCGGAACAACACTGTCTCTTTTCTTCGCCTCCAGTGCTTTCCGCTTAGCGGAGCTCATTCTTGGTTTTGTTGAAGACAGAATGTTACGAGTTTTAGTTCCAGGATCGACTTGTGAGGTATCGTCTTTTGAACCATCTTTATGTGAAGCGGAGGTGATTCTGACCAGCGGTAATGGAATGGCAAGAGGCGCACCTGCAAAATAAACGATGCGCACTAAATATCGAAATCTTTGCTTTATCACAAACGGAAATTTGTAAACCTTTTTGAATAAAACCAAAAAGGCCGGCTGGCTAACTTAAAGTGCCCCTGATTTAATATTTTCAATATTGATTCTACATGAGGTGAATACTTGAATGGTGAATATGAGGTGAATATTTTCATACGATTTGAGTGATGCATCTTGGGATATCGAGGTTTATTCTTTGTGATGTCATAGGAGGCATGCTACTATAAAATAAAATACAAACATTTTACCATTCAAATGTTCACTTCATGTAAAATCAATATTAAACATATTGAGTTAGGGGTTAAGTTCACTTCAAGACGGAGATAATTCTATCAAACAAATACCTTCAGGCGAGTTGGTGAAATCTTTGAGAGACTTGAACGTCAACGGAGTAGCAGCCCCAGACCTCTGTGCTACTTTGCTCTTCTTTACATGCTGATAATCAATATTACTAATCATACTATAATCACTAATACACGAAATAGCGTCTAAGGGTACCCCTTTTTTGACCCGTGATCCTTTGCCAGCTGGTTGTAATAATCGCTTGTTTCGTTGTCCTCTAGACCCTAGTAACTTCGCTTGTTGGGTGAATTTCCTTTTGTCATCGTCATCACGGTCATCATCGGTGCTTTCATCTGGAATCACTTGGATCTCATCAACCAATACTTTGGGTATCTCTTGCTTGGCTTTAATCCTTGATTTTCCATCTTTTTCAGCTGTTTTCGATTCGCCTTCTTTGGCATCCTCTTGTTGATCTTTATCAGTATCTTTAGTTTCAGAAGAATTTTTTTCCTCTTGGATGCTCACTTTGTCGGATTTTCGTGACATATTGGAGTTCCTTCGTAGTGACAGCGCTACGGATAGGGTCGATCCCCGTCGCCCTGGCAACAGCGACGCGGTCGTCTGACCTGCGTACTGCTTCTTAAGGTTTTGTAAAAGCTTTGCTTGAAGTCCTAACAAAGACAATGGTTAAAAAGTTTTTAACACTTTTAACACTCTTCCAGTCTTTTTAAAAAGATTTAAGTGACTTAAATCATGTAATTTATACTATACTACACTTTTTGAGATTGCAAATCATGGTTATAAATATATGTCCAAATGGAATACGATAGTGTAGTGTATTGGTTCGTATATTGTGTGTATTACGTCGTTCTGTTCACGTACTTCCACATGAGTTTACTACCGTAAACATACTGTATTATGGTCTAGTTTGGGGTACGAACCGACACGGTTGTTGAACCAAACAAGTTATGGGTTCAACAATGTATCATGTTCATCGATTTCATGTATTGAAAAAGAAAAAAGCTTTTACATGGTCTTGTGTGGGACAGTTTTTTAAAAATCACGTGACATGTCGCCATAGCAACATGGTAAATTCTTACCTTTGGGGCCGTCTTTCTCACTTTCTTCTTTATCGCTTATCCCACCTTGCACTGGAGAATCAAAAAAATATTTTTTCCATTGGCTAAATATTTGAATTACTAAATTATTCGTCCAAAATTTTACAGAATTTGTGTCTATCACCGTCATTTAATTTCTGTAAACTACGTTTTTCCACGAGTAAAATGTCATTGTATTGTGTTGTGTACGTTGTATGAAGGATTCACTCTAAGACTCGACGAGAATGAACATGTGCAAATGAGTCCGCAGTCAAGGATCACAGCGAGTTTTATAAATGGAAAATATTTTCTGATAAAGATACCACCCCAGTGAATGTAATGACGTACCTGACATGCTTTGCCGCTTCTTGTCTTTGATTGGTTTACCGTCCTGACCAATCGGCTTTATGCTTGAGAGAAGTGATCGACGGCTTTTTGTTTCCTCTAAAAACAAGAGAGCAACATGGTTAAAACATTTTTGGTTGCCCTCATGAAATGGAAAAACAGTGGATTAGGGTCAGTCCCGCGGGCAGCAATAAAGCGCGCGAGACGGCCATACAACCATGCTACTTAGAATAGTACCTTTCTCTTCGAGGAGCAACTCAGGAGGTATTTCTAGTCCCTGTTCTTTTAGTCTTTTGATGTGTTCTTGTCGTTCTTGTTCTACCACGTGCTTCGAGTAATACCATGAATTCATCTCATCCTCCACCTCGGAATAAAACACCGAGGCTGTGTCGATACTAAACAGACTGCAAAGAGAGGAAAGAAAGTGTGAGTACTAGTAACGAAATAAAAAACTCGCTCGTGTAATCAGCGTGTGCAATTATAAAGGAGGATTGACAGAACGCGAGACAAGTGTTAGGAGAAGCACGAGGCGTAGTGAAGTGCTTCTCAACACTTCTCTAGTGTCCTGCCAACCCCCAAGTGCTTTAATAACTCCACACAGCACAGCGAGAAAGTGTTTTATTCCTTTTAGGAAATACAAATTAGGGTAGCCGTTAATTTGGACAAGAATGACGAAATAGGAAGTGCGCGCTCGTGCTGTGTTCTCTCGTAATGCACGTGCACCCAACCAATCAGAACGCGAGATTCATACTAGTTATTTTCAGTCATTGGATGTATCGATTCTACAACAAATATATCGGTAAAACACCTTGCCAAATCCTCCATGCGTTTCTTTTCTCTTTCTTCCTTTTCTTTCTTCTTCCTTTCAGCGCTCAGCCTCGCCAGTCTCCGCCTTTCACTGGCTTCTCGCTTGGCCTTGGTTTCAGCACGTTGTGCAGTCAACTTCTCTTGTAGGTGATCCAACAGGGATTTGTCTGCAGGCAGCTTACTTCGATAGGTGATGAACTCCTTCCAATGGTTGAAGAGAATCCGAAACACTGTCATCTATATATAACAATTAACAACAAACAGAAATCAGAAGCTGAACGAGTAAGGTGGGTATTTCTAGCCATAGACCTTAGAAATAAAAACGAGGTACATTAGGGGATTCTTAGGAAAAGTTCTGGTAAGGGAGAGAAATAGATACGACGGAAAACAAAGAAGAGCGAAGGAAAATATGAAAAATGAGAAAGAAAAGACATTTATTTTATCATATTTTACGAACGAATTGGGAAAACAAGATTAGAGTAGATGTGTGGGAAGGTTTGAGGCGTTGAGATTTGAAAGAATAAGAGAGATTGAAAGAAGTGCAAATTGTACAGAATCTAAGGAAAAACAAATATGCAGAATAGAAAGAAGGAAGGAGATAAAGAGGCAATCTGGCAAAGAACGAAGAAAGAAAAGACAATGAAACATGGAACAAAATAATTCCAAATACCTGTGCTTCTCTGAAGATGTAAGGGTGCATCGTTAGTCTTCCTGTTAGTTTCTCCAGTAGTTTTTCCGCCATTTCGATTGGAATGTCTATTTGTAGTTCAGGCGCGATGGCAGAATTCAAGTAACAATCTGTGATTGCTTGGACCTTACGGCGAACGAAGCTTTCTTGCGCATGCGCATGGCACAGATCCTGTAACGAAATCAAGAAATATACGTCACATTATTAGGTAATGAGCGACTTACACTATCATGTCACGTGACCCTTGCCCTCCTTAAAGTGAGCAGTTGTGCAAAATGAAACACCATTTATAAAATGAGTACCTTAATTAACATGAGCATATATATATATAAGGAGGCAAAGTGTATATTATTACGTAATCTATACTTCTTTTACATAGCAGCAGTACAGTGCTCTCGTCTCCCACCTCTGGATTCTCGTGAGAATAGTTTGTTAGGGCTCTGCCTTGATTCAAGGAATTTTTTCCTCCGAAAAACTTACACAAGCTAAATTCCAATTCGATCTGTGAGTGTATACAGCCATGCTCGACTTTCATTAGCCCAGAGGCTGTGACAGGGTTCGATTTGTGAGTTAATCGTGCCCAGGGTTTAAGCAACCCACAGTTATTTTAGAGTATCGATAAAATTTCAAAGTTTTATTGAAGAGATAAATGGGGGAACACCAGTGGATATGAAGTGCCAATCCTGCGCCAGGAGGATCGTGGAAAAGGGTGGATCGTGGAACAACCCCCCACCCCCCCTCCATCGGGGTCCTTACAGAGGTGACGTCATGGCTATTCTTACTACCCCGTGTTTTTATTACTTGAAATACCTAATCGTTAGGAGATCGTTAATTGAAATACCTAACCGTTAGGAGATCGTACCTTGAAATACCTAACCGTTAGGAGATCGT